TCAGCAAGAGGCAAAACTGTAAGTAGGTCTTATTTTCAGGGGATGTCTTACTTTCAGGGAAACACGGTAGTAGATACTTGGGGTATAATGATTGTGACGAACGAGGTGCCAGCCCATCAGGTTTGGCCCAAAGACGAAAGTTCCTGCAGGTTCTTAAGCTGCCAGCACCTCTCCCTCTCTCAACCACACTCTTTCAAAAGTGACCTGGTGAGATTTGTTCTCCTTTCTAAGAGTTTGCCAGGGCTCTCGGATCTGATGTGTGTGATACCTTGCTCATTGAGAAAGCCATAGCTTTCCATGGTTCCTAGCTCTGACTTGAGCAGTTACTTTCCCTTTGTGAGTGGCTGTTAATAACTTGCCTCACCCTTGCCACTTAACGGTCACTTCGGGTCCTGGAATTATTGGCACAGGATTCACCTGTGTGGGCCTAGCATGTAGGTCTAACCATAGATTTTATTTGACTCTCTTGGCAAGTTGGTCATTCTCCAAACATGCCAGCAAAAGAAAGCATAATTTATCCTTCTACCCTCATATACCTTAAAATTATGCCCCAGTGTAACTGGGGCACCATATTGATTATACACTAGTATCCATTATATTTTACTCCAAGTTTGTTTCAACTCATAGCCAAGAGCATGCTGCCCTAGGCGTACTGTTTTGTTCTTGGATTTTTTTTTTTTAATAAATACACTAAAAACCAAGTCAAAAGTTGATTCGGGGAAATAGGAAGCAGATGTTAAAACTGACATTGATAACAGTTGAAATCGTTTCATGTTAACTGATGACCATGTGAACAATAAAATGCTTTAATAAAAAAAGATTCTTTAGGTTTTATCTTAGATGTTACTTTTAGGAAACCCTTCTTGACCCCCTCAGTTCTTTGTTATGTCCCCATACCATTTCTTACGCTCATGAAAATTCTTTAACTTGGCAGTGTATGTCTTTCTCCCACTGTGCCCTGGAACCTCCGAGAGGTAGGTTGGTAGAATCATATTCACTGTTTTGTTTCTCTTTGCTAGGAATGTGGAGGGTTACAGTTGTGTTTTATTGTTTTCTTTGTGTTTGGGCTTGCTTTTACTTTAATAAAAGACCCTCAGACTTCTCAGTGTGATCCACTGCATTACACGGTATATATAGATTCTTTATGTGTTTTCCCAACTGTTCCAAACTTGTCGTAGCTCTCTGAATGAGGTTCAGATAGGAAGTCAGGTCTGACTCCCAGTAGACGCCAGGTTAAGTAAGCTCCTTTCCAGGTTATCAATCCAGGTACAATTATGACAATGCCATCCTACAGAGTCAGGACAGTTGTTTTCTATCAGAATCTTAAAGGAACTTCGTAGAAGGATGTGTTTTAAGGCACCTAGAGTGCCCTAGTATTATTTCCCTGCTGCTGAGAGTGGAACCCTAGTTAGCATTTTTCTCAGGGACTACTATATTCATAAACGTGGGAAGATCATCATGGAAAAGGAACTTTGAACTCTAACTTCAAAAGAGTCATGGGTGATACTTTGACATTGTTGACCATAATAGTCTTTCTTACTTTAGCCATTTAAATAAGAGCATTGTGTAATTTTTGCCTAGTATTTTGAAATACTTTTTTTTTAAGGCATACTTTTTTTTTTTTTAAGGCATTTGCTCATGTATCAAAATTGCTGTCACAGTGTAAATTTGATCTTTTGGAAGAACTTGTAGCCAAAGAGGTAAAGTATACTTTTATTTTT